AATGGGAGAAAATTTTTGCAATCTACTCATCTGACAAAGGGCTAATATCCAGAACCTACAAAGAACTCAAACAAATTTACAAGAAAAAAACAAACAACCCTATCAAAAAGTGGGCAAAGGATATGAACAGACATTTCTCAAAAGAAGACATTCATACAGCCAACAGACACATGAAGGAATAGTGATGAATTTTATTTTGTTTCCTACTGTTTTTCAACTTATCTACAATGAGCATATTGTTACCTTATACTTACAGAAAATACTAAATCTTACTTTAAAAGAACTTAGGTAACCCTCCCATAATGATGCAGAGTTTTATTTGTTTGCTTGTTTAATCAAAAAAGTCTGCAGAAAGACTCACCCACGACCTCTGCAATCATGAAAATGAAGCATATTGCTGAAGCAGCACAGAGCTTCCACTTGGCATAGGCGTGCTCATTCGCCCTGTTCTCTGTGGGCTGGGAGCCACTGTGGCAGTGGTACATGCCTCCTGACTCCAACTCCTCTGGTCTCTCTCTGGGACATTGATCTTTATTCACCGGTTTCTGTTGGAGTTCCACACTAGGAATGAATTTGACAGAAGCAAGAAGTGAACATAGTTGCAAACCAGCCACTCACTGACCCACGCTGCCCATACTTGGAACCACTATTAGGACATTTGCTTACTTGCTAGGAAGTGTTCATTTGCAGCTCTTTCTACAAGAAAATATCAAGTGTAAGAAACAAGCAAGAAATTTCCTTCTAAACTTTAACTACGAAAAGTTGTACTTTTATTCAGTCAAACTCTTATTCAGTCAATGCCACCAATGATTAAGAGATATCAAAGGAACAGGAGAAAAGAAGCAAATACATTTTAAAAGGATTTCTTCCCAGTTACTTCACTCACAAAAGACTTGGACACTGTGCTACAAAAAATAATAATAAAATAAATCAGACTACATTGTACGATATGTGTATATGAGCCAGACTGAGGATTCAAATACTCATCAACATCATTGACAGATCATAGTACTTTTTCCTGCTGACTCCGTATGTACTCTGAGACCTTCTTACCACCGCTCTGCAGACAGTGGCTACCAATTAATCAATGTTATGATGAGAGTTGAAACCTACTTATACTTCCCAAAGCAGGCAGTGAATATCAGTTCCGCTCAAATATAAAGCAAAATTTAGAGTCACTCGTAGAATTTCACAGATGGAAAGGTAGATAACATTTGGTCTAACACTTTTTTTTTCTTTTTTTAAACAATTTTTATTGATGCATAATAAATATACCTAATTTAGGGTACATGTGATAATTTAATACATTCATATAATTTTTAAAGATCAAATCAGTATACTTGAGATGTCCATCACCTTAAATATTTCTCTTTTCTTTATTCTAGAAACATTTCAATTATTCTTTTCTGGCTATTTTGAAGCATATGATAGATAATTGCAAACCATAGTCACCTCACAGATCTATCAAACACTGGATCATTTTCTTCTCTCAAATCATATATTTGTACCCATTTATCAACCTTCCTTCATACCTTCCTCCTCTCTACCCTTCTCAGCCTCTTGTAACCACCAATCTACTCTCTTATCTTCATGAGAGCCACTTTCTTAGCTCCCATATATAAGCGAGAACATGTGATATGTGTCTTTCTGTGCTTGACTTATTTCACTTAACTGCAACCCCATATTTCTTGGCTGAAGTAACTAAGGTTCAGGGAGTTTAAGTAACTGCCTGAGGTCAAATATCCAGGAAATTTTGGAGTGGGAATCCCAAGCCCAGTGTTTCTTCTGTCATGCCTAAACCAATTTTAGGTGTCCTAATGTTGGGGCAGGAAGGCAGATGTCAATATCCATGGATCTTGAACTAATCATATTTTTAAATTTTTAAAAATAAACTCATGTACAGAAATAAATAAGAGTCTTGGAATTAAGAACTTTGCATTCGTGACTCTGAAAGGTAAAAACGAACAAACAAACAAAATTAGCAATATATTAGCTTTCACTTTATTTCATTTAGCCTATCACCATTCAGGATTAAAAGTCTGATGGTTTTGGCTTAGATGAACATTATTATTCTGACTCTAATTATTATATATGATTTTTCTGAATAAAATAATATATATTCATTATAGAAAATCTGGAATTACAAAAAAGTCACAAAGCAGAGGGAAAAATAACTGGTAATCCTCTCCAAGAGACAATTATTATTGATATTTTATTGTGTAGATTTGTAATATATGAATACACTTTTTACATAATTAGATTTCAGATTAATTAGGACGTTTTGGGTTATAAGTATGGAAAACAAGACTCTTGCTAGAATAATTAACAAGTAAGAATTATTGGTTCTGCAACTGAAAACATCTAGAGGGGCCAGGTTTCAGATACTCTTTGACGAGGTCTCCAGATTCATGTCTTGGTTCTCAGCTATTCTTCAACCTCAAGCTTGTCTTCCCCATGGTAGCGGGATGGTTGCCAAAGGTAATCAGACTGTGTATTTATTTTTTAACATATACATAGAGAGATTATCCCCTCAAACTGCTAAACAAGAGTCTTGATGTGCATGTGGATTTGGCTAAATGAGAAACAACCACTATAGCCAGGGGAATATGGATGAGCTGCTTGACTTAGGCATTGCTATACTCAGAAGACTGGCAAAACCCAGCCATGCTGACTCATACAGCTGAGAATAGGGAAAACTTTACCTAAACCTGGCTGCTCCTCAGTGGGGAAGCGCTAGAATGGATGTGAATAAGATGATTGCATCACAAGAGGATCCTAACAAAGATACAGCTTCTGAACCTGATTCTTAGCTATAAATATTGTTAATATTTTTTCCATTTATAAAATGTTGTATATCATTATTTTTAAAATATGGAGGGCAGTATATATTTAACATAGCTACATCATAGCATAATTAACTCATGTTTTTAAATTATTAGACAACTTGTTCTTTTGCAATTACTTGCTCATATAAGCACTACTATGATTCACATCCTTATAATCTTTGCTCAATATATTATCTCCTTAAAGTGGAATCTTAAAGGGGAAATTACTTGGTCAAAAGGTACCTACATTTCTAAGGATTTTGACATATATTGCCAAACCGGCTTTGGAATATACATTACAGCCAATTTACGTCATTGGTTTATTTTTTATCAATTATGTGAATAGCACTTAGGATTCTGAGTAGTTCCAAATAAGCTTCTTAGTTGGAATAAGAACAATTTGGAAAGTAACAAATAAAGTATTTATATTTAAAATGAGTAGACTTTTGCTTTTGTTATGTAATAATATTCTAATAATAAACAACCATAGAATATGGTAGTGTGGGTCCCCAGTGGCCATCAACTCAGAGGAACCTGAGTACTAACACGAACACATTGTTGAGATTTACTCCTTCCTTGGGCTGAGAAGACAGCATGAGCAAAGCAGGCTCACCAATTGTTCTGGAACTGCCTGGTGTGCTGTGGTCATATGAAGCGTTGCTTTATTTTAGGTTTTCATAAATCTTATGACCAGGGAAAGCCAAGTAGTCAGTGACCAGGAGAGAGAATTTATCTTGGAGCAGCTTAGAAGCCAGACCAAAGCAAGAATCAAACCTGGGAAAAAGTCCCTGGGCAATGCCACCAGGAGGAAAGTATGAAAATGTGGGCAATTTTTACTTTTGTGTACTGTTTCCCTATCTTGGATTCTAAGTTTAACAAATATGGGTATACTTTGAGCTGAGACTGCTTCTTGAAGAACTAAGCCAGAAATCCAAAAGTGGGCTTCATAAGGTCCATTGAAATTGTATATAATGTGTTCGTGTGTGTGTGTGTGTGTGTGTGTGTGTGTGTGTTTTATGGGACAGGCAAAAGTACACAGTCTTCACTTAGCTTCCAAAAGAGTCTGTGACCCCAAAGAAGTTAAAACCCAAAGTTAACATATATTCCTCATAAGCTCGTTAGAGCAAAGTTATCTAAGTCTCTCTAGATGCAGAACGGCTCTTGATCACAACAATGATGTGACTTTTCAATATTATTTTAAGAAGAAAGTTATAAAAAGCAAGTTCTATGATGCAACAAACACTGAAATGTGAATCTGCTATTAATGAATAAATCCCAAAACATTCCCATGTATTCAAATATGGCCAAAGCTTTAAAAATTAGGAATAATAGGCCAAAGAAATTTACTGTAGCATCAAAGAAAACAAAGATGGAGAAACAGAGATGAAAAAGTATGGAAATATTAGAAAATTTGATGCCAATATTCTAAAACTTTGATTTCATCTGCAAAAAATGGGATTTAGAAAATGGGACTTTATTTTTGCAATCTTGGAGAAACTTTTATTTTTTAATTCTATTTTTGTTTAGTGGTAGAAATTAAATTCTTTTGCTTCTATCTCCAAAATAATGTTGGTAAAATTTTTATTTTTTACCCTCTTATTTCAAATGTTGAGCACATAAAAATCACTTTAATTTTGTAGTTTCACATCATTTTCCCCAAGAACCTCAAATCACTATTCCTGTTAGAAGGGGAGATAAAAGCTTCAGCCTCACCATGAATTTTTAACATTTTATTCATTCATCATTAAATATTTATTGCATACCTAAAAAGGGCCTGCACCAGCAGAAATGTTAATGATACCATGTTGTACAAGACAAACAAAGGTCCTTCTCTAAGGAGCCTGTATTTTAGTAGAGGGAGACAAAGAGTAAATGAATCAATTTACTTTGTCTTTGGTAGAGGCTATATAGTATGATGAATGGTGAGCAGGAGAGGGAAGATGAACTACCTTAAATGTGGTGGGAAAGGAAGGCACCTCTGTGGAGGTGATATCTCAGCACCAAGTTACAGAATTACCAGGAGAAAACCTGTGTAAGTGAAAGCTATCACAAGTAGAGGGCATTGCTAGAGCAAAAGCCCAAAGACAAGAAGGATTTTCTTGTTCAAACGCTTGTCTTGAACAGAAAGAAAACTACATAGGTGGCCCCTGTGGCATAAAGAAAGAGTGAAATGGAAAGAGGTCAAAAAAGGGATCAGATTTTGCAGAACAATTCAGGTCACTATAAAGAGTTTAATTTAATTCAAGGTCTAAAAAGAAAAATTTGGAAAGTTTTGAGCTGGGAAGTAACATTACATGGTTCACATATCTAAAATGATTGCTTTGGGTGCTGCCTGGAAGACTAGAGTGTAGAAGATCAAAACATAGAAACCCATAGAAGATGACTACAGCCAACACATTGGTGGCTTGGACCTATGTAGTGACAATAAAAATGGAAAGAAGTAGTCATATTTGAGGGACTTTTGAGAAGTGGAGTCAACAGGAATTGCTAATCAATAGCATTAGTTCAGGGGGAATAATAGAGAGGTGGGACTCAAAGATGACTTGTTGGTTTCTGGTTACAGTAACCAGGAGAAAGGAATGCCAGTTCCCAAGATGGGGCTGAGTGGCAGGCAGTGAAGTATAGAGGCTGAGAGCTTGGGCTCTGGCAACCCACCACCTCAGTCAAACTCCCAACCTTACCACTCACTAGTCATATGACTGTAAAAAAATTACTTAACCTCTCTGTGCCTCAATT